TCTATACGTCTCCTCCACCGTCAAATCCACTTTTCCTTCCCATCCTTTCCTCTCAAGAAAAGGGTGGAAAGGGAAAGGGATTAAATTAGGCCTCCGGCACCACACTCATCAGACGAAACGCGGAATTGCTTCCACTTCACGCCTGTTTTCTGTGTGGTCGTGGTATTCCACCGGGCGAGCCGGCCCATTCGTGCGAAGATGTTAAAGCGGGCTCTACCACTGTTAAAACTGGTTTGTGGCAGGTTTTTTTTAGTTTTTATTTACTTAATATAGCATGAACATAATAATATGAACATTGGTTATATTATAGTGCAAAGAATTACATTTTGCAATTGCAATAGGAGTTAAGTAACGCAATATTAGTAGTAATAATTTATCAAAGCCTTTTGTGTAATAAGTCACGGGTTTAGGAAAAGTAGGCTCGGTGCGACCGGTTTTTAGGTTGATAAAGTGAATGTTGTAATTATATGAACTAGGGCATTCTGTTACAAATGCAATACTTTACCCTAAAACCGCAAATTTCATAATGTCTAAGTATTAGTAGTAATGCAGGGAAGTATGAAATATTACCCATACAAGTTACCTACTGGCTGATTTTTTTTTTTTATAATATAAGATGGCAAACGAGCAAGCGGCCACCTGAATCCGCCAAAATGGCGAAGCGACCGCTGCCGATAGACATCCGCATTTGCAGATGCGTTGCGTACCCTTATCCGACGGAGGAGGAGACGCACATAAAGAGGATATTTCCTCTTCCTATGCATCTCCTCCATCGTCAAATCCACTACCCCTTACCTTCCTCTCATAAGAAAAGGGTGGTAAAGAGAAAGGGACTTAAATTAGGTCTCCGGCACCACACTCATCAGACGAAACACGGAATTGCTTCCTTTTCACGCCTGTCTTCTGTGTGGTCGTGGTATTACACCGGGCATGCCGGCCCATTCGTGCTAAGATGTTAAAGCGGGCACTACCACTGTTAATTACCCGCGACTTAGCGTCAGAGCTTAAAAAACTTATGTAGTCTATGTTCTTCTGGACTGTGTTCTAAATCTGTGCCTTATATTTAGATGTATGTAGTAAAAAACATCCATCCATCCAATCTTTCAGATCTATCTTCTATATTTTCTTCTATACATATAAAAAAATTGGAGTGTCTGTTATATCAAAAGAAAGATACCAGCATTCGGAAAGATGATTTGCGTTGCTGATAACGAAAATTGCATTTAACTATTTTTGTATGTCTGTCTGTCTGTCCGCAAGCCGCGTTTGTTCCGGGTAACCTCCGAAACGGCTGGACTGATTTCGACCAGACTTTCACTGAAGGGTAGCTGACATAGACGGACATATTACTACTCAATTTTAATATGCCGTGGACGAAGTCGCTGGCTACAGCTAGTTTATAATATTGTTATTAAGTATAGGAATATTTTATGATTTAATGACCTAATAATTCAGTGTATTCCATACAAATGAGTTGCATTAATTATTTTATAGTTACAATGAACAAATTTGTTATACAACTTTAACTATTGCTTTTTAAACTAATAAAAAATAGGAAGAAATTAAATTTGTGTACCCAGGCCTGACCTATTAACATACATTGCTCGCGATGTATGCATGTGTCGTGACACAAATTAACTGTTTCCTATTCGAGCGCTCGATGTATGCATAACCGATTTCCTTCCTCGGCCTATTTCCTTGACAATTATAACCAACTTCCATCTATTTTTTTCACTCAGTATTGTTTTTGATAATTATGTTTAGTCACGAATTATATGCCAACTTTCTGATAATAATAAAATTGGATAAATTACGTATCGTAAATACTAAATTCTTAATAGCCTTGGTTATTTACATTTCAAAGCTAATTTTAAAACAAAAATCGAAACGATGAACATGTCTTTAAAAGATGTGATATGTCTATTATTTCAAAGTGTGATATCGAGGGCCTGTCCCACCTCTGATCACAGTCAGATAAAGGAGCAAAATCCGATATTTTTATCACATATTTTACACGTTCGATTGTTATCAGACAATTGACAATTTGGTGGGACAGGCCTTAAATAAGCGATAATTTTAAAATCAAACAAATGAAATTTTTATGTCGTTACATTGTTGTAAAGCCTATTAGAAGCGATTATATCTTATCTTCATTTTGAAATTCTCAGAAAATTCATCGGGGATTTTACGCATGAATAGTTTTCCATATTCGCCTGTTGAATAAATGCACAGATAATAAATACTTCACATTATAAAGAGGAAAGATTTGTATTTTTGTACGTAATGAAATAATTTAAAAAGTGCTGGACTGATTTCAATAATTCTTTCACCGTTAGTAAGCTATGTTATTGTTGCGTAACATAGGCTATATTTTTAAATTTCACGTCGGCGTAGTCGCGAGCAACAGTAGCTGCAAATGCAAATGTATAGACATTATCAACGGTCGCTTTGCTAATTTGGTGAATTCCGGTGGTCGGTGCATCAAGTGTCCTAAACCGAATAGTACTATCGTTCGCGAAAATCGAAAAGTAAGAAATAACTTTCTATTCCCATTATCTACGTTGAATTGGCGACACGGAACTAATTGACATTTATTTAATCAATTAAGTAATAGCGTTTTAAATTAACTATTTAAGTAATATTTCAAACTATCATATCTTTGTTTCAGGCATTTTGTTAATGTGTTTGCTAGTGTATAAATGCAAAAGTATGTATAGATGTTTGTTTTTAAGTATCTTCAAAAAGGCTTAACAAATATCCATAATATTTAGTACAGATGTAGATGTCTAGAAGAATACATAGATTTACTATTTTTTAATTCCATGCAGACGAAACCACAGGAACAAACTAGTCTTTTATAATATTGCACTGTTGCTACGTAATGTATAAATTAATAACAGTTTATTTCAACATGAGTGTGGTGCAACAAACATAATATAAACATATTTTGTTGATATTTCCGTCTGTTTGAGATATTTCTAGTTGTCTCTATTGTTATTCGTGTTTGTTGTTCGTTTAATGTTTTTACAAACTGTCCGTGTCATCCATCTCTATTTGTATCTTTACTATAATTTATTGTATACGAGCTGTTGCCCGCGACTTCGTCCGCGTGGTATTAGAAAACATACGAACTGTATAAATTACAAAAAGCTACGTATCCCTAGGGAACCGGACATTTCTCGGGGATGAAGCTTATCCCATGTGTACTCCAGACTTTGTTTTATATCTGTGCCAAATTTCAATAATATATGTTGAACCGTTGCAGAATGATCGAGTAAACATTAAAAAACTAAATTAATGAATCCCACGGGAACCGTAACTATTCCCGGGATAAAAAACAGCCTATGTGTTCTTCCAGACTATGTTCTAAACCTGTGCCAAATTTCATGGAGATCTGTTCAGCCGTTTAGGCTACAAACGCTAACAAACATCCATCCATCCATCCCTCTAAACTTTCGCATTTATAATATTAGGAAGATGGTAACTTGCAGTTATCATTTCTCGGTTAAGAACACTTTTGACTATCGCAGAACTTAATCTCGCTTTGATTACAAGCTTATATGGAGGTGCGTACACTACTCGACTTTTAGTTGTGCAACTAAAGAGTTGAAGTCTGCAAAACAATCGACAATCGCACAAAAGTTGTGCACACGATCTTACAAGATAATTTACAATATATGATGTGTAGGTAATAGTTTCACTACCTCATAATTTTTCTTAAAATTATACGTTTCAACAACTCAACAGTTGTGTAGTTTGTGAAGCTTGTTGATGATTATGTTTTGGAACATTTTTAATTGATTTATATTAAAACTAGCTGTTCCCTTACGGCTTCATCCGCATGAAGTTATGAAAATTTTATTTTATTATTTACATTCGTGAAATCATCAATAGCAAATGTCAAAATGACATGACATTACAAACCTTGGCAATCTTGCTTCCTTGATGTTGGCAGCAACTCATGGTCTCTTTCCCACATTATGGTTTTTATCCAAAATATATACTCCCTAAGTTTAATGGCGTGAAAATATATAGCCTAAAGCGTGACGTATGCTGTAATTGCTGACATCTTAGGCAACAAAGAAGTGTGTGTTTACGCTTTATTATAATAGTATAGATGAGTTAGTTAACACTTTCACTGCCAATACGAATTGTAGACATAATTGCTTGCACGAAAAGTATTGTAAAGTTGGTTAATAAGCTATTTAAGTAATCATAAAATAACCATTACTTAACTATACAATACATTTGTAGTAAACTACTGTGTCTGTTTTCTATTGATTAATAACAAAGGATTAGTGCAGTCTTCCTTGATAGAAGAAAGCAAGGTTGCAGTTGCATTGGAGTGGTGTGGCATGTCGGTGGGTGTCATGCATGCGCTGGCGCAATACTCGATCAACCGCCCGCGCAACACGCGACCCGCTAGGGTGACCATTCGTTACATGCTAAATAAGTATTCATTTGTAGATACGAAAAAGCGGATTAACAATGTGGAAGGACAAATAGATGGATTATCATTTTCCTTTATACAGATACTAGCTGTCCCTGTGTGGCTTCATTCGCATGAAATTAGAACTTTCCCACATGAAGGTTTTCTCCAATTTATTTAACCCCTAAGTTTAATAGCTTGAAAACATATAGTCTAAAGCATGTTTTAAGTGTTGGGCTTTTTATTAAAGAAAGAATTATTCAAAAATATGCTGTAATTGCTGACATCTTACGCCACAAAGAAGTTTGTGTTTAGGTTTTGCATATTAGTAGATACGTAAAAGGCATTTATTTATCTGTATAAAACAGCCTTAAGAAATAATAACTTAAGAGTTATTGGTAAAAACTATTTTGATAACGTATCGTTACATATATTAAGTAAACATAGTAATAGCAAACATAGTAACAAAACAAACAGTTTAAGTAAGCATATCGAAACGAAGTACCGAAGGCTATAGCAAGGCCACCCTACAACTCCCCCCAGTTCGCCCGCGCCCCCCCGCGGCATAAGCGAGGCAGCGCTAGTGCGCGCCGGCGCAGCAGTCCTAACGAAAGTGTCTTGTAGTGCTTTTTTTAGTGCCAGTGAAAATTATTTAGAACTTAGACTAGTACCAGAACTTAAGTTATATAGGTATACTAATTATTATAAAGTGGTTGTTCTTTTTTAATTTTTTTCTTAATATTTAAAATGTTTATTCTGGAATTTATTGGGATATTTTGATGTTTTTTTTTCGTTAAGAAATTTTGCAAATTGTATTTCTCTTTTTTGTCTTAGTAAACTTGAATGTAGTTTGTTTTACAATTTAAGCAGAACGACGTTAAGTTGACTTTAGCAAGCTTACATCCGCCCTGTTTTATTTACTTTACAAAGTTTTTTTATAAAATATTATATTGCATGAATATAATATTGTAATATATTAAGTTACATTTAAGTAAGAACTATTTTATTTATGAGTGAAGAGTTGCTTTCTGTATTTGATAAATAATTTAATGAATTTTCAGTAAGCTCCTTTCCTGTAATATTTCCATTTTCAACTAACTAAGCGGTTTAATAAAAATCCGCTTTGTAATGTATTTGTTACACAACTTGGACGAGAATCGAACCTTGAATGCGATTTCTATTAACTTCGTATGCAACTAGAATCAATGTAATACTTTTTATACAAATAATTAAAATAAACAGTTTAACGATATAAAAAGGAAAAGTAAGTTAAATTTTTTCAAACTATTAAATTGAAAACTGCAGTGTTACCAAAAAAATAAAACGAAATGTTTCGCAGAATCATAAAAGTCTAAAAACGTTTTTATACTTACCTTGCTTTTTATTTAAATGTTATTTAAATTCCTCGAATCCCTTTATTTTATTTATTCTGTCGACCCTCAACCCATTAGCCAGGTAGTCATTTAAAACTGTGGTTAGTCCTTTAAAGTTGAGATAAAATGGTCATATGTCGAATATGTTCTTATCAAAATAAGTTACCTTTTATAAACACTGGTAAAGTTTATATTAAAACTAGCTGTTTCCGCCTGTCTTCATTCACGGTTACAAAAACTGTGTTATTTTTTACATTACGTAAAACTTTCAATTGCAAATTTCAGAATTCAAATGCCTTAATGAAAAGGCCCTTGCAATTGGCTGTAATGACGAGTAACCATGGCAACCTAACTTCTTTGCTGCTATTGGCTTGTAGTTTTTATCCCTTTGCTCACCTTTTTATAAAAGTCTGAAAATATACAGCCTATAGTGTGTCCTAAGTGTAGGGCTTTTTATTTAAGATACGAATTATTTACAAAATATGCTGTGATTGCTGACGTCCTACATAACAAAGTGTTTGCGCTTTATTATATTAGTATAGATATAGACAGTAATGAACAGGTATTATTACAAGAAATAAAATCTCTTCCAGAGGTCAATGTACTCAGCTGGCGTAGATGCAAGTTCCTCAACAGAAACAAAAGACCGTCGGTGAAATACTTTGGACTTTTATAAAAGACTTTGTGTACTTATATTTGAAGTTCTTGCTGTACGCTGTGGCTATCTACATACTGTTCTACTATTACGACTACTATCTAGGGTAGTAGGCAGACAATGTGAAGTGATATTGTGAACTTTGTGGAGCTTATCAAGTGTTAAAGTAATTCAGTCACCACGGACCAGTCGGGTGAGTTTTTTAATTATTATTAGTGTTAAAAAATATACAGTATGTTACGTAATTGTAACTTGTTATGTTATGTACCAGACATGACATAGAACGAAGGTGACAAGAAATATGCCTATGGAATACTTTACACTAAGACATCAGACAAAATCCTATATTTTATTAAAGTGGGTAAATAATGCATGAATTTTACTAGCTTTCGCCAGCGACTACGTCCGTGTTGAATTAAAAAAAACACAAGTAAGTAGCCTATGTGTTTTTCCGTTCAGCCGTTTAGGCTACAGACTACAATAAACATCTATCCATCCAAACATTCGGATTTTTAATATTAGTAATATTAAAGAACCTTTAATAAACTCGCTCTCTCAGCTTTCTTACTATCTTACTAATATTATAAATGCGAAACTTTAGATGGATGGATGGATGTTTGTTAGAGTTTGTAGCCTAAACGGCTGAACGGATCTTCATGAAATTTGGCATAGACGTAGAGAACAGTCTGGAAGAACACATAGCCTACTAACTTTTGTTTTTTTGAACTCCACGCGGACGGAGTCGCGGGCGAAAGCTAGTTAGTAATGTTTAAGAGGTCGATATATCTCTATTTCTAGTAATCTTCATATGTATGAAACACTGTCAACATTTTTCTTATTGTGTAATAACTTTGAACGTAAATCGCTTACAAAACTGGCAACAGACTATAAATAAAATAGGCAATAAAATGTAAAAGCGCCTGTCTATTGATTGACCCGGGCGACGTAACGGCGACCTTTACTGGCCACTGCGACGCCCGTGATGGTCACCATTCAAATATAACGAATTATTTAGTAAAGATTGACACAGTAACTTTATATAGATTATAGTATCTATTTTATTTAATAACTAGCTTTTAAAAAACAAAAGTGAGTAGCCTATGTTCTTCCAGACTATCCTCTACATCTATGCCAAATTTCATCGAGATCCGTTCACCCGTTTACGCTACAAACTCTTACAAACATCCATCCATCGATCCATACAAACTTTATCATTTATAATATTAGTGAAATATTACTAATATTATAATTAACTAATCAGTAAATAACTGTCATTATTATTTCTTTCATATAAATATCTATTGATAAAGGGCGATGTATTTAGCACTTCACTAAAAATATTACCAAAAAGTTTGGGACTTTTACGTGATTGAAGTCTGTTTATTAAACGTTACTTTTAAAATAATTATTCAACTTTTTAGAACAAGCTCTCTTCTAAATAAGGAATTACACCATGAAATACGAAATTAATTTTAAAAGTAGACAATCTTATAAATGCGAATGTTTAGATGGATGTTTGTTAGAGTTTGTAGCCTAAACGGCTGAACGGATTTCGATGAAATTTGGTACAGATGTAGATGATAGTCTGAAGAAACACATAGGCTACTTAATTTTTTTTTTAAATTCCACGCGGACGGAGCCGCAGGCGAAAGCTAGTAAAACATAAATTGTTATAAAATCACAGTTTTGTCTAGTGTTATGTTATCTATGGCCATATCGAACTTTATTAGTATTTTATTTAAATTTAACTATAGTTATTCAAAACGATAGGCTTCTACGGCTGTACATTATGTGCATCGAAAGGCTTTTGATATGCAAATTTATGTGTCTTCGAACCCTCATCAATTTAATTTAACAGAGAGGGAAACTCTAAACTTATTTATCTTATTTTTATTTATCAAGCACAGTAAAATAAGCAAAATTATAATATTTAGATAGACTTTTTCAAAAAACACTTAAATAGAAATTATCTTTATAATTGAAAACATTTTAAATCTATAAATAAACAATAATTAAATAACATACCTTGAAAATACTTCAAGAGAAACAATTATCAATATTATTAAAAGAAACTCTACAGTTAAAGTTCAAATTAATATATTAGATAACTAACTGTTGCAACTTTGTCCACGCAATATTAAGATAACAAAGTAGCCTATAATATGCCCGTCTATGTCAGTTACCCTTCAGTGGAAGTCCGGTCAAAATCGGCCCAGCCGTTTCGGAGGTTACCCGGAACAAACGCGGCTTGCGGACAGACAAAAAAATTTTAAATGCGATTTTCGTTTCATAGCATCAAATACATCATCATCCCGAAATCTGGATTTTTTTTTGAAATTTCGACAGACACTCCAATTTTATTATATGTACACTAAATAACGTATACTTAATATATACACATAAGTTAAACACTCGATCTGTGTTAAATTGAAAAAAAAAACTGTAAACTACAAAAAAAACAAAAGCAAAACCATGTCAACGCCGGGACTTGTACAATTCAAAAACCTCCAATAGTTAATTCAATATTTGCGTGGTTTAACAAACTCGGAGTGTTTTGAATAATGTAGTAATTTACACGAAAAGTGAAGAGGAATATTAAAAAATAATATGATGTAGGCAGTAGATGTTTCTAGATTATTATTTTGTGTGAAATGTCAGCGAGGGCAGAATCGAAAGGCGGCTCGCGTTCTTAAGACCTTCCCGAGTATGTAGACTTAATATACTACTAGAAAGTACCTTTATTTATTTATTTTTTCAATATAACAAATTTATACTTAATAAAACACATTTAGAATAGTATATAGTAGCAATAAAATGAGATTGCTTATTTTAAAATATCAAGCAATCACGCTTTAGCCACAATCGGAATGTGTAAACGAAAAAACATTTTATACAAACGCATATTCGTGATGTTTGTAAAAATCGCTCTTTCCTCGTGTAATAGGTGCGGTTAAATGACACAAAGAAACGATACAACTTTTCCGTAATACTAAAAAGAAGGCTTATAAAAAAACTCCTTTTTCTTATAACGAAGGTTTCTAATGAATGTGAATATGGAACGGGAGTTATGTTAAAAAATATCAACATGGAATATTAAAGTAATTCGTTTATACGTGAACTCGCTGTTGTCAATTCATACTATTGATTTTGCAATAGTGTTCTGCGAACGCGCATGATTTGCGGATGTTTCGTGTATTTCACAGAACACGAAACTGAATTTATTATTTTAGCTTTAGTTAAAATTAATACAAGAACATAACTCAGAGGTATAAACTATTTTTTATTATTTACAAAATCCATACAAACGAGTTTTAAAACATTCTTCAGTTATACATTAGAATTCATAAAGAAATATGTTCGTCTTGTTTTAAACATTGTCCATTCTGAGAATTCATAAGTCTGCGAAACTATCGAGTAACTAGCCGGCCTTGGGTGACGGGTGGCAGCGACAGGCGCGCGGGGGGCGGCAAGGTTGCGTCGCACGGACAGACAAATTGTGACCCGGACATTGTCACAGCGTATAAGGTATGTAGGTACATGCTATCCTAAAACTTTAATAAAAACCATATTTGGTTAACCCGTTAATCTCTTTGTTGTAATAGTCGAAAAATAAAACATAATGTTTTCTGCTTTTAAGACATATTTTCATTGGAATATTATAAATGCGAAAGTTTAGATGGATGAGTGTTAGAGTTTGCTGCGTAAACTACTGAATATATCTCAATGAAAGTCATAAATGTAGAGGACAGTCTGGAAAAAACATGAGCTTATTTTGTTTTTTAATTCCACGTGAACGGAGTCGCGGAAAACAGCTAAATTTTTCGAGTGATTAAACTAGTAATTTCTTAGCGATATAATAACAATTACGTTTAATTAAAAATGATTACTTCGACTGCAAATGAGTGCAATATCTCTTCTTATAGTCAGCTGATTGTACCGGAAACTTGTCTCCTCTTAGTTCTGTAGCTGGCTGTTATCTAACCTCCTCGAGTTACAACACGCGCTAACAAAAGACAATCGCTAAAGCAAAAACAAAGGGTTAGGACACAGCGCACGAGAGAGCGAGCGGTAAGAATTAGTCAATCAGAAAAGGTGTTTAAAATTATTGTTTCAATATATTTGTATTAGACTATTTAAATCCATATAAAATAAAGATTCTTAGACCTAAATAATGTTATAGGAGCCAAATACATTTTTTCAATTTATCGCTTTCCGCGTTTATTGTAGTTACATTAATTCGTGATCGCTTTTACGAGTAGCATCGGATATACCAATTACGGAATACAATGGTTTTTTATGACAAGTTTCCAAGAAGTATTTTGTCCTAAATCCGTGTTTATAGCTTTTGAGTACTTTTAAATTGAAATAAAATTTAGTTGCTATTTAAATTAGAGTCGTAAAAAATTTGTGAGTTTACGTGAAACAATTTTTTTTTAATTTTATGCACGAAAATTAAAAGAAACTAAATTTAAAGAAATGATCACATTATATCTGTATTTATTTTATACATTAGTATAGGATTAGTCGTCGATCTTTTAGTGTAAAGAAAAATAGTGACCTAGATTTTTATAATTTATCGAATTCAAATATCAAGATGTGAGCTATCAGCTTCGTATTTATAAAATCAACACATTATGATAATGCACATAATGCGCTATTACATCATTTGCAACAACCTGACATTTCGGCTGAAGGTGCAGGTGACCAGATGTTACGTAATTCGCGGACAGCACTGGATAAGTAAAATCAGTTTTAACTGGAATTAATTCGTTAAAAACGACATTTTTATACATTCAAGTTCAAATGTAAACTAGTTTAATTAAATACATATAAAGCAAGTATGAAAAATATTTAAATACATCTTGTGTAGTGTTAATTTGACAAAGATTTAGTACGAAAAAATAGGATAAATCATATCCATTACAATTATTGCTTTTGTACTAAATTTGTAATATCAATACGCTTATTAATTTCCCTTTATTACTGTTGAAATCTACTATACATTTAAAAAAACAAAACGAGTCAATGCAACCAACATAGTTTTCAAATATAATAAGCTATTCTGTCCCATATTTCCATGTATAGTGTTGTCACCAGCGCGATATTTGAGCCGGGGCCGGTCAGCTGGCGCGTAGGCGCCCTGCTGACCCACTTTGCACAATTGGTTAGCGTGATGCCACCAGTGCTGTAATA